TCACAATAAACACAGAGGAATGTCTACATAGCTTGAATTTCCTGTCGTGCTACAAATGGTCCATTTTACACCTGGCCATTATTTTAGGTGAAAGCATTGCATATACAACAAAGATGTTGATAAGTAACTGCGAAGTCAGTAGTAGAGTCAATTCTCAATGAAATCTGCACAGGATCCCATATTTTAATTTTATGTATTGCATCATCCTCTTTCTTCATGAAACCATTCATAAGAACTACCAATAGGTTGAGTTACTTTAGGGGCATTCAGGTGCCTACTGCCCAGTGTGGGTATTACCTCTGAATCCTAGTTGGTTATTTATCTTGTAATTATATAACATGTTTATAATTCCATATGCTGACCCACAAACAGAATTCCAGTTTCACTCTATCTCCCAACACGGGACAAATGCAGGGTACAAAGTCAATGACATTTGAATGAGTCCATTTTGCTACTTCTAGACTAATATCTAAAGTTAGATTTACGTACTAGAGATCAACTACCATGAATAGAAATGTCTCTATAATGAAAGAAATTTCTAGGAATCAGTCAGTTGAGTATATATCCTAAGGAGAAATTTTTTTACGATAACGTTCTAGTTCAACAAATTCACTTGGATAGTTTATTTGCTTGTATTTATGTTTGAGCTGTACCACACGTCTGTGATGTGCAGGTACTGTTTCATTTAAATGAGTGTCACTTCAGCATATGGCTCTATTGGCAGAGCTAATTCCTTATCCCAGCACAGGGCCTGGCACAGTCACAGTCCACCAGTTGCATAGACAGCAATCTGGAAAGGCCTTTGAAGCCTGTATCCTGTCCTTCCGATGTTACATTAGCAATGAATGTCTGCTGATCATTCTTCCTTAATATCTCTGGATCCAACCCCAATGCCTCCACCTTGGTGCAGTCTTCCTGCATTCATCACCCATGTTAACGTAGCAGGTTTCTAACTAACCTCTTCATCTCAAGAATCATTCCTCTCCAATCTATCCCCCTACATAGTCTTGCTGAAGGAATCCCTTCAAATCACCATTTGATCATGTTTCTCTTATGTCTAAAATCTTTCAACAGCTGGGCGTTACCTTTCAAATAACATCTCAACTGGTCCTTGCTCACATCTCCAGCTATTTCTTCCTGCTCCCCTACAGTGAACCTTACGTTCCAGCCCCACTGAACACATGGATGACCTTGAACTCACTCTATTTTCTTTCACTTCATAACCTTTTCTCCTTCCCTCCCCTTCCTCTTTTTGGTTTCTCCTCCATAAAATACCCTTCTATCCTGTCTTTGCCTGGCGAATTACTATTAACCCTTTAAGACCCAGATCAGCTGCCCCCTTCTCCAGAAAGCCTTCTCTGATACTTATATTCTCCTTTAAAAATATGCTTCCTTTATCCCCATTGCGTGTTGTGTTTACTCCATGGTTGCCCAATCACACTATGGTGTCATTACCTTCATTCCTCTCTTTTCCATGACCTATAAATCCCCTGCAGGCAGAAGCTGGGTCTTATTTACTCATGTCCCTGAGGCCTAGCACACAGCGGGTACTGCGTTATTTGCGAAGCCAAGTTGATCCACAAATATTTACCAAATGAGTATCTTCTCTGACGGCCCCAAGAGACAGCACTTCACTGATCTAGTTTAATTTCTATTGGATAAATTTAATGGAACACATGATTTATGAATTCCTGTCTGTGCCTCTTACCACTATGGCTCTCCAGCTGATTGACCATGTGTCTTTTTGTCTCCTCAGTAGGAGATGCCTACTGGAGAAGAGGGGTGGAGACAGAACCAGCTGGCCAAGCTGAAGAATAAAACAGGACAGTCAGAGGACAAAGGCAAAAAGAGAGAGAAGCCAAATTGCCTTTTCTAGTGCCACTTTCAGCACTCGCTCATCCTCTGCTACTCAAAGAATCCATAACACAGAAAATTACCCCACAATTCCCCTAATAATGCAGACTGTGGAAATCTTTATCCTAACCTGAGTTGCTTTACTTAAACATAATGACGTGTAAATAATGCTCCTTCTGCACATCCTACCACAGTGAGCTTTCAAACATGCTTTGAATTGAATGAGGCAAGTCTGGTATTTCAAAGTTTGTTAAAGTGTCGTACCTGTTTTTATCAGATAAGGAAGCAACCTCAGTGATGAGGAAGAGGAGTAAAGGACTTTCTGATCCAGAAAATAGGAAGCATGCCCAAGAATTGCCAAAACAGATTTTTGGAGAGAAACAAATAAAGCACTTCACGTGAACAGCTGGTAAAAACTGTCACGTGAGAAAGTAGAAATCATCAATAGTACCAAGACTACAATGAAGGGTGCTGAAAGAATGTAAAGTACAGAATGTAAGAAGGAAAAAGCTAGAGAAGCAGAGTAAAATTTCTTTTCAGTTTAATGAAGAGTAATGTGGCTACCAGATCAAGGTCTCGGCTCTGTCACTGGCTCAGCCTAGTTCACACTTTCCACGCTCCAGTTTTTTCCATCCGTAAAATGGGAATAAAGATGCTAGCTTTATTATTATTTATTTTATACACTATATACTTATTTAGAGAAGTCTGGACCATGGCTGTGGGGATTAACCAAAGGGTCACTACAGTGTGAGTTACAGATGTATAGTGCTAGAGGGCTTCTGCTGGGGACTCAACAGGAAAGAGGAAGGGAAGTAAATAAAAAATGGATGGAGTAACTTCTTTGGTACCCCTGGACTACTCGTTTCAGTGATGAGAGGAGGGATGCCCAACAGAGCTCAGAAAGGGATGTAAACTCATCTGAGATGAGCTGTGATAAGCAGGCCTGATTACCTCCTCCCATCAGCTCAGTAAACACCAATGATGAAGAGACTGCAGACTGCCACTGGTGATAAAGAGGCAGCTAAACACTCTATTAGTTTTTCATTTTGTGAATTAATGTCCTTCATGGTGTGTCTACACTAACCAGTAATGAACTGACTCCTTAAAACTGCCTGGGGTCCTCCTCTCTGCCTCTGCAAGAAGGCATAAATTTCACATGGAAATCAGCACTTTTAAGGAGGCAGTAACTCCTTTTAAAAGAAGTTCCTTTTCAATTAGTTTCCACACACATCCTGCTTTAAGAAAATTCGCCTCTCCTTCCATACTTCCCTATAAAAATTAAAGAAAAAAGAGGCAAAACAGTCTCCCATAAGATTTGATAGATAGATACGTAGGCACGTAGATAGATAGATCCGATTTCTATAAGAGCCCAGATATAAGCTGGGAATATTTAAGAAAATCAACAACTCTCAAACCTTATTAGTCTTCTTTAACAATAAAGAGAAATCAGTCTCTTACTAGTCCAGTCTTGCACATTAAGTTTGGTGATTAGGTCCATTCACCAAGGCCCTCTGAACCTTATCTACCCCTGCAGAATTAGAAAGTCAGGTCTGGGCCTCTGACACACGTAATCATATTTCATTCCTTTGGGTTTAAAACTGCTATAGTTCGCGAAAGACTACGCAGTTAGGGCTGAGGTTCTCTTTCCAGCCTTTAACCAGCCTCTCTGTGAGTTCTTCAACTAGAAGACGTTTCTTTAAAAAGATGGGTCTGGGGAAGGCCCTTGGAACCTTCTGGGTGGTGGGTGTGCACCCTGTGGTTGGCAATTTTGAACCAGTGAAGCATATACTCATACAACAAAACTAAGTAAAAGCCTGAGAGAAAAATATAGCTGTTTCTTCTACTTAGCTGGCTTTTTTTTTTTAATATGAAATTTATTGTCAAATTGGTTTCCATACAACACCCAGTGCTCATCCCAACAGGTGCTCTCCTCAATGCCCATCACCCACCCTCCCCTCCTTCCCACCCCCCATCAACCCTCAGTTTATTCTCAGGTTTTAAGAGTCTGTTATGGTTTGGCTTTCTTTTTTAACATAAAAAGTTTATGGGGCACCTGGGTGGCTCAGTTGGTTAAGCATCCACTCTTGGTTTCGGCTCAGGTCATGACCTCATGGTAGTAAGACAGAATCCAGCACTGGCCTCTAAGCTGACAGGGGTGAGCCTTCCTGAGACTCTCTCTCTCACCTCTCTCTCTGCCCCTCCCTCGGTCACATGTGCACTTGCACGTGTGCTCTCTCAAAATAAATAAACAAACATTAAAAAAATAATAAAAAGTTTGTATCAAGGAGATTGGTTACTGACAAAGAACTACATGAGGAGCCAGAAGGTCTGAGTTCCATGACTGGTTCTTCTGCTGATTTTTTCTTTTTTTTTTTTTCAACGTTTATTTATTTTTGGGACAGAGAGAGACAGAGCATGAACGGGGGAGGGGCAGAGAGAGAGGGAGACACAGAATCGGAAACAGGCTCCAGGCTCCGAGCCATCAGCCCAGAGCCCGACGCGGGGCTCGAACTCCCGGACCGCGAGATCGTGACCTGGCTGAAGTCGGACGCTTAACCGACTGCGCCACCCAGGCACCCCTCTGCTGATTTTTTCAAGAGAACTTTGGATTTATTTTCTTCTCTAAGATTTATATACTGCCTGCTTTCCTAAGAATATGAAGTTCCTTCTCATATATTACCTCATATTAGCCTTGCAGATTTTAATTAAAAAGATATATTACATACATAATAAAAACCTCCTAAAATATATATTGCTATTTCTTTCTCTTTTTTTTAAAGTTTATTTGAGAGAGAGAGAGAGAGAGAGAGCATGCACAAGATGGGGAGGGGCAGAAAGGGAGAGAGAGAATTCCAAGCCGAGGTCAAGAGTCAGATGCTCAACCACCTGAACCACCCAGGTGCCCCTAAATTGCTATTTCCAAACTAACATTCTCTCTCTCTCTCTCTCTCTCTCTCTCTCTCTCTCTCTCTTTTTATGTTTATTTTTGAGAGAGAGAGCACAAGTGGGGAGGGGTAGAGAGAGAGGGAGACACAGAATCTGAAGCAGGCTCCAGGCTCCGAGCTGTCAGCACAAAGCCCGATGCAGCACTCGAACCTATGAACCGTGAGATCATGACCTGAGCTGAAGTTGGATGCTTAACCGACTGAGCCACCCAGGTGCCCCTAAACTAACATTCTTAACATTCATCCCTTTAAGTTGACTACCCCTTTGTTTTCTCCATAATCTTCATATTTCCTAGATAACTGTGTTAAATACAAAACAGAAACCCCTGAACTGATTTGACCGTGTGTCTGTATCCATGTCCTATGTAGGTGATGCCCCACTAGGCTATAAGGCCTCAAACGACTGGACCTTGTATCTTCTGTTCACCACTGAATCGCCATGCCTAACTCAGTCCTGGGCACAGAGCGGGTTGAATGAGTGAAGTACCAGAATGAACGAAGGGACACATAACTTTTCTTGCTTCGTGTCAATTTCATTCTCCTCTTTCCTTTCATGAGAGTTCTATTTTTGATGCTTTAGTATCATGGATTCCTCTCTAATAATTTAAGTATAAAACTAGTTTCCCAAATCCTTGACAGTTATTATCCCACAGTTTGGTGCCCACAACATTTATTATTTGTCCCTTTTTTTTCCACCACTCACCTTACTTGTCAGAAAACACTCCTGAGCTCTGGCATTTCTTGGCCCCTGGACTGTCTTTGCAACTAAGTTCTTAGTTCCTAAGAGTGCAAAATTCCTGTGTTCTGCTGTGGAATGTATTTTGTAGTTTACTGTATCACAACAGTACTTAAGTGAGGCTGATGGTTTTCTTATTGCTCAATTAGCATTTATTAAACACTCACAGTATACTCTTAAAATGTCCTCTAAAACTAAATGACATTCTGGTGTGCCTGGGTGGCTCAGTCAGTTAAGCATCCGACTTCAACTCAGGTCATGATCTCACAGTCCGTGAGTTCGAGCCCCACGTCAGGCTCTGTGCTGACAGCTCGGAGCCTGGAGCCTGCTTCAGATTCTGTGTCTCCCTCTCTCTCTGCCCCTCACCTGCTCAGGCTCTGTCTCTCTCTGTCTCAAAAATAAATAAACACTAAAAAAAATTAACAAAATAAAACTAAATGACATTTGTGGAATTGGTTCTCAAAAAAATGCCTGAGCTTTTCAAAGTTCTGAGCCCTTTAAATACGGAAGTCGGTCCCCCACCAAAAATGTGAGCCCCAGGCCAACCTTCCTGTGATAGCTGGTGTAGAAGAGGCAGATGAGGTATGAATGCAGGGGAGCAACCAGCCACGGGCTGCTGGGCTCCTTCCCCTGGGAGCCGTCTCCTTGTTTTTATAATGCCTGCCACCCTAACATCTCAGAGCCATCCCTACATGGACAGCATGTGAAAACATATTGAAATCCTCCTCAGATCACAATACATCTGTTCTAAGAGGCTGGATGAGAGATGCCAGGGGAACATTAACTCAGAATTTCCTAACTCAAGTGCAATTAAAATCTCAGCCACAGTGAAGAATTAATGTAGCCCTTTGCATTTTAAATACATATTTTAATTAAATGACACCCATCTGTAGAATATGAGACTGCATTTTTATTGAGGATTTCAAATGATATAATCTGTTCCTATGAAGCATAAATGGCTTGGTTCATGTTTCCAGAAACCTCCAAAGAATTATATAGATCTGGCATAAGCACATGTGGTGGCACTCAATTTTGCTTAAATTTAAATCTGTTCAACTTGCGTGATAAGTGTTGTTTGTGTGTTAAGATTTAGATTGTGTATAAAAGTAACAGAAAATAAGAGCATAGCCCTTTAAACGTCTTGGATCCTTTCTCTGCAGAGTCTGTTCCAGGGAACGCCAGGGTCAAGGGAAGGTTAAGGGCGCTGCATCCCTGCCCTGGCTAGAGCTGTGCCGCCACGGGGGATAAGCTTTTCACTCATTTCACCTAATGAGAAGCTTCCTCGAAGGTGAAAGATATGCTAATGGGACTAACGACTGAAACATAGACCAGCTACCTGGGAGCTGCACAGTTCCAAGTGACGGAAAGGATTTGGGGTCAGTGTAAACTTTTTCAGGAAACCGAACTGCCCTAACAAGAAGGAGACAGCAAATGCATCCCTTTCTCTGCACAGCTGTTATTTAGTATCTCTGCCCCATGTGACTTTTCCACTTGTATTTCGACATGACGTACGTTCTTCAAGACAAAGCCCGAGAGAGGGTAGGACGGAACCTGGGTTCTGAACCCGTTTGCGGCACCATGTTGATGTGTGACCTCGGCAGAGTTAGACATTTGGCTTTTAGTTTCCTTGTCTATAAACTGCCTCCTATCTGGTTGGTGTTCAATCAATGCCAGCTATTTACTGCAGGCTGAACTCAGGTCTGGGACTCACACTGCCCTGGGTTCTAGTCCCAGCCTTGCCACTTACTACCTACATGATTTTATGGCAGTGTCTCAATCTTTTCAACCTGACTTTTGTCACTGAAAAAGGAAGATGATAATGCTTACTGTATTACTTTCCTATCACTGCTTTGACAAATTACTACAGATGTCATAGTTTAAAACAACACAAGTTTATTATCTTATAGTTCTGAAGATCAGCAGTCTGACATGGGTCTCATTGGGCTAAAATTGAGATGGTAGAGGCTCTGGGGTGAATTAATTTCCTGGTCTGTGCTAGCTTCTAGAAGCTGTCCACGTTCTGTGGCTTGTGGCCTCTTCCTCCATCTTTAAAGCCAGCAAAGGAGGGCCGGGTCCTCACAGGGCATCAGTCTGACCTCTCATCTGTCGCCCCTTCCACTGTTTAAAAAATTTTTAAGTTTATTTACTTACTTTGAGAAAGAACAAGCACAAGTGGAGGAAGAGCAGAGAGGAAAGACAGAACCCCAAGCAGCCTCCGCGCCATCGGCGCACAGCCCGATGCGGGGCTTGAACTCGTGTACCGTGAGATCATGACCTGAGCTGAGATCAAGAGTCAGACACTTAAGTGACTGTGCCACCCAGGCACTGCTCTTCTTCCAATTTTAAGGACCCTTGTGACACTGAGCCAACCTGGATTATCCAGGATCATTTCCCTACTACAAACTAAGCTGAGTAGCAATTTTAATCCCCCTTTCCTGAACATTTTTGCAGGTTCTGGGATTAAGAAGTCAACACCTTCTGGAGGCTACATTCTGCCTACCACACTTACCCTCATAGCGTTCTAACAATTAGGGAGAATATTCTAAAACCTGTGTAGTGTCATATGCCTAGTAAGTTCTCAATAAATGGCAGTGCTCATTACTGGAGCTGACTAGTGACTAAGGTCCTGTCAATCTTGGAAGTTGTGTTATTTTATAATCCTATGGTGAAATGTTTTGGTAACAGCTTTATTTATTTATTTATTTATTTATTTATTTATGAGAGAGAGAGAGAGAGAGAGAGAGAGAGAGAGAGAGAGAGCATGAACGGGGGAGGGTCAGAGAGAGGGAGACACAGAAGCACAGAAGCAGGCTCCAGGCTCAGAGCTGTGAGCACAGAGCCCAACTCAGGGCTCGAACTCACAAACCGTGAGATCATGACCTGAGCCGAAGTCAGTCGCTCAACCGACTGAGCCACCCAGGCGCCCCATTAATAGCTTTATGTTTTGATCATAAAGAAGTAGGTTCCAAGTTCTGATCATATATCTATAAACATCTGTTTGTTAGTGGACAGAATATTGTATTGTAACAGCACAGTATCTTTCTCGTCAATTTGTTGGTAGAGATTTAAGGCAACTTAAATCTTCTAGTGTGATCATTATACTCCTAGGGAGATTTGTCTCAAAAACTCTGTCAGATAGCTTGTGGAAACAGCATAATAGTGAATTGCTTATATTCTTACTAATGGGGGGGGATAATGTTATATCTCCAATATTAAACATACTTCAATTATTTTACCAATTTTTCTGTGTATTATACATGCATATCTAATATAACGGCTTAAAATTTTCATTACACCTAAAATGTAAATTATCAGGGTTCTGCTGTTTCTTGTGGAAATAGCTGAGAAACAGAATCCACTTCTGTCCGTTCTGTTAGGCATCCAGTTGGCTGTAGCTATCTGATAGTCCTTATGAAATGAGAAAACATCTTGATTAAGACAGCGTGTCCATAAGCAAGGCAGAATATAGAGAAGCCACCTGAGATCTTATTAAATACGAGATAGCAGAGTTCTTATTATCTCACTCAAACACAAGCAAATAAATTATTCTGGTATGATCTGGGTTTGGTGGTCACTACTAGGAATGAAGGCAGATGATAGTTACTCTTGTCATCACTTTCACAGGAGAAACTGTAAAAGTCCAGATTTCACCTGACATTTGGAAGGTCTGTTTTTCTCTAGTTCCTGGATCTCAAGAAGACAGACTGGATCCTTATGGAAAACAGGCTCTTCCTTGACTGGGTCTACCTAACGTTTTCATGCAGTAGTATAAATTATTCATTACAATTGATCATAAACTTAAAAGTGAAGACCCAGGGAGGATTTCAGCTACATAATCACTTTTCAGTTCATTTTTTAATTTTAATCAAAGCTCACGATGTCCATAAAGGGTCATTTTTATAAGTTTTTTCGCTACGGGCACCACATTTAACTCTTTTGGTTGATTTGCAGTTCTTACCCCTCTATGGTTAGTGAACTTGTCCATTTCTCTACTCTTTGACTTTCCAGTTCTCGGTGTTTGTTGCCCTCCCACTAGGCAAGATGAGGACGTGGCTCCCTCCACTGATGCTCACTCTTCCCACTGCTTTCGTGCTACACCTGCTTCTTCATTTTGGTGAGATCGGTGTGTGGTGTTTACGTTACTCTAAGTGCCACTGACATCTAAGGCCATGTGGTCTTCCCTAGTTTTCTCCCCTAGCACCACAAGTTTGATGTCTCTGGTGTTAATAATAGCCTTGTTATTTATTTGTTTGCTTAGTTTTTTATGTACTCAGGGATCATTTAACCTCGAACACTTCCCCGATTGAACAGTTCTTCTCTCCATAAATTCAAACACGCTGGCTATTCTCTCAGTATCATCTTCCTGCACAGACTTCTCCTGAGACCTTGGGAATCCCTCATCTCTGGGCCAGTTATTCCCTATGCTTGGTGCATTGCTGCCCTCTTGGCATCTCTTGTCATTACCATTTTGGGGTTCTTTCTCTGTGTTAAGATTTCCATTTCTTCTCACCATGCCTTCCTATTTTTATGTCAACTCTTTCAGTTTGGTAGATTCTGAAGAAGACTGCATGGAAAATATGGTTTTTGAGACCTTAGATATGCCTGAAATGTTTTTGTTTTTCCTTCCAACTGAACTGACAGTTTGGTTAGGTATATGATTCTAGATTGGAAATAGTTTTTCTTAGAATTTAAAAGGTATTATTTTTCTACTGTCTTCTAGCTTCCAGTGTTACTTCTAAGGAGTCATTGTTTTTCTGCTTCTTGATTTTTTTATATTACCCCCCCCACACACACACATACTTCTTTTTTTCCTGGACAGTGTAGGTTTTTCTCTTTATCCTGTTGGTTCTGCAATTTTGTGATGATTACTTTGGTAGGAGGACTCTAGCTCTGTTTTCATCTGTTATGCTGGGCACTCTGGTCTCTTCCAATTTGAAAACTGATGTATTATTTGCTTTGGGAGGTTTTCTTCATTTTTCTCTGATGTTTCTCTTTCCTTTATTTCTCTCTTTTCTCTTTGGCCCTATTATTCAGCTATTGGACATGCTGGACTGCTCCTCGGATCCTTTTTATTTTTATGTTTGCCTATTTTCACTTATTTTTATTTCCAAGAGTTATTTTCCGTTCTCTGAATGTTCCTCTCATATGTGATACTATTCTTATCATGGGTGCAGTATCTTCTCTTCCTTCTTCTAAGGATATTAAATATAGGGGTGTTTTTAAAGTGCATTTTTTTTTTTCTGGATAGTCCTTGTTTCCTCTGAGTCATGTTTCTGTTTATTTTGGTCTCTGTGTTTCGTATTATCTGGTTTCCTCAAATGTCTACTGTCCCTGGCTGTTTGATCATATTGAAGTGAGGCTGACTAAAGTTTGTGTCTGTGGAGATGGGAGTTTGTAGACTGTGGTCATCATGGTAGGTGAGCTGCTTGGTCTCTTTTACTGGGGAACCACAGATGTCAGTGTCTTTGGGTTTTGTTTTTGTCTTTCTTCTCTTGGGCTGCTCAGATTCTTCAAAGACTTTCTGGTCTCTTGTCTGAAGCCATATACCTGGCTGCCAGCCAACTGGGGAAAGAAGGCAGGTCTCAACTGTCATTAACGTGAACTCTGAATTAGCCGCCCTAATTTCAGTATGATAGTCCCACACTCAACTATGACTTCTGTCCACAGTCCAAGGAATCTCTGTTTTACCATTTTTAGAGAACGAAACTCCAATACTCTGTTATGATTTGACAGGAGCAATGCCGTAGCTATGGGGAGTACGGGAGAAAATCTGAGAGTGAATGTCTCACCAACAGCTTTCAACAAGTTTTCCTGTTTTGAGCCCCAACCTCATTCACTCTTTCAGAGGTAGTTAGCTATGCCAATTTTTTTTTTTAAATATAAGTTGGATAACTTTTTGATGTACTCACTACTGGTTCAGATATTAGCCTTCCTGGATTTTCTCTTCTCTGGTAGTTTTTGTTTCTGTGGATTTATACCTTTAAAATTCCCTTTTGTTTGGTTTCAGTGGGGTTACTGGAGGCAGCACAGATAAAATTGTATGTTCACCCACCACATTTTTATTTTTATAATTATTTAAGGTTCATACTAAGTGACAATCGCGTATCCTTATTAACTTTATAGTTATATTACCATGTGGCTGGACCTGGGTGTGTTTTACTTGAAATGGTGTTCTTCCACTTCTCCCAATCTATAGATCCATCACATTTGCTGAATATCCCTCCTAAATTCTGGTTTTTGAATGTTTACTTATTTATTGTGAGAGAGTGTGTGCATGTGGGAGGGGCAGAGAGAGAGAGAGGGAGAGAGAGATTCCAAGCAGGCTCCGTGCTGTTGGCACAGAGCCCGAAAATATCTCACAAACTGTGAGATCATAACCTGAGCCAATATCAAGAGTCAGACGCTTAACTGACTGAGCCACCCAGGCGCCCCATATCCTTCCTAAATTCTATGCCAGTGTCTTCCTTGGCAAACTACATGCCTGGGCGTGTCAAAGCAATGTAAGAAACAGGTAGGCTTTAGGCATCACAGATGATCACTGTTATCCTTCCTTAAGGATAGGATAATGTCTTAAGAAGAAATCTGCTAGGAACCACATAAAAGATGGAGGTGGCAGCTTTTATTGATTCTTCATGGCCTCTGACTTTGTGGACATGAACGATGCATAGCTAAGACTATGAGTTGAGTTCAACACCTAATCTCCAGTTACTGGCATAAAGTTCAGAAGGTGCTCTGGCTAAAGTAGAAAGTGGAGGGCACCTGGGTGGCTCAGTTGGTTGAGCGTCCAACTTCAGCTCAGGTCATGATCTCATAGCTCGTGAGTTTGAGCCCCACAATGGGCTCTGTGGTGACAGCTCAGAGCCTGGAACTTGCTTCTGCTTCTGTGTCTCGCTCTCTCTCTCTGCCCCAACCCACTCACATTCTGTCTCTGTCTCTCTCAAAAATAAAAAAACATTAAAAAAAATTAAAAAAAAAGAAAGTGGAAAGCCTAGGACTATGCTGGCTCAGGACCCCTCTGAACTGTATGGAAACCGCTGCTCTATGGTCAAAAAATTGGGGAGCCTCAATCAACAACTTAATCTACTGGAATGAATGCAGAATTATTTTTTTTGAGGAGGAGGATTTTAACTCAGCTCATAGCTTCTCCTTTAGCTCAATTTCAAGACAGGCTTTCTTCACTGGCTTTCAAAAATGTTTCCTAGGTCTATGCCACAACCTTGCCCTTGTAAAGAGAGGCTATTCTTGTTTATACTATAGCATTAACTATAGTCCATATCACATTATTTCAGATGCACTCTCATGGTAAGTAACAGCTGTTAGAAATAACAACTAGGGATGCATTAGGGTTGTAGGGGTAGGTGGTGGGAAGGAAAGTTCTCTCTGAGACTGCTGCATAGGGGACTGTGTTCTTGGAGTCATCTAGACAGAGATATATATCTCCCCACTGGAAATAATAATATCAATGGAGGTTAGGGTCAATTTGTTTGTCATTTATGCTAATTGCTACGATCCACATTTTTTCAGCCCCTTCTATGTACTAGGTACCATATTACTTGGTGTAATCAGGAAAGAGACCAAGTGCATACTTTCCAAGTGGTTACAGTCTGGTTGGCAAGGCAGATATAGAAAGAGATAAACGGCACAATACAGTATGTAAAATGCTCAGATGAAGATTACTTAATTCAGCCTGAAAGGGTCCAAAAAAAGTTTCTTGGAAGTGCTGATGCTTAAGTTACATTTTAAAGGAGGAATGGGTGAAGGAGAATGAGAAAAGGTAGCAGAATGGGCATTAGGCTCAGAAGAGACAGCTTGAATAAAGGTAAGGGGGTGAGAAATGGCAGGGCATTGTAGGAGAACTAAGGGCAGTTCAGTGCCTTTAAAAACAGAGATCTAGGGGCGCCTGGGTGGCGCAGTCGGTTAAGCGTCCGACTTCAGCCAGGTCACGATCTCGCGGTCCGGGAGTTCGAGCCCCGCGTCGGGCTCTGGGCTGATGGCTCAGAGCCTGGAGCCTGTTTCCGATTCTGTGTCTCCCTCTCTCTCTGCCCCTCCCCCGTTCATGCTCTGTCTCTCTCTGTCACAAAAATAAATAAACGTTGAAAAAAAAAATTAAAAAAAAAAACAAAAAACAGAGATCTAGAGGGGTGCCTGGGTGGCTTAGTCGGTTAAGCGTCCAACTTCGGCTCAGGTCATGATCTCACAGTTTGTGGGTTCGAGCCCCGCGTTGGGCTCAATCCTGACAGCTCAGAGCCTGGAGGCTGCTTCGGGATCTGTGTCTCCCTGTCTGCCCCGCCCCTGCTCATGCTTGCTCTCAAAAATATATAAATGTTGAAAAAATTAAAAAAAAAAAAACCCAGAGATACAGATTGTGAAGAACATTGTGAAGAACCTTCTAAGTCATGTTAAAGATCCTGGATCTTGCCCACCGGATGATGACAGGCCACTGTAACAAGTTGTATGGTCAGATTTGCATTTAGATAGATCACTTTGGCACAGCAGTTGTATCATAAAAGGAGAAGAAAAATGGAAGCAGGCTAATCACTAGGAGGCTACTGAGATGATTCAGGTGAGAAACAATGAAGGTATAAAGTAGGGCAGCGACAGTAGGGATGAAGAAGAAACGATAGATGTAGAAATATTTAGGAAGTAAAATCAGCGGATCTTCAGGTCAAGTATCAAAAAGAGGCATTAACATTATACCTAACTTACAGATGAGAAAATTGAGACTTCCAGAAATTAAATATCTTGTCGCGTATCCCACAGCCAGAAAGAACAACGTTTCTATGGAGGAAATGCATTCAGAGTTTTTAAAAAGAACTTTTAGATCACAACCCGCTCATTAGTCGGTGACTGAATATTTGGGCCCAAACCAGCACCGAAGGAAGGATTAAGGAAAGGAAACAGTCAAAGTCGAAGTCTACCAGTCAAAGTAGAAGGTCAGAAGGAACATTTTCAGGAAGTAAAATCCACATTTGGCAAGGGATACAATAGGTATGTAATTAAATATATTGCTTTAAATAAGGACATTGGAGGCTAAAAATACTGTGAAGATCCAAAGGTAATTATACTGTTCAACGTTAGGAGAAATTCTTCATGGAGATACATAGATGACTTGGAGGGAATCTTCCTGTGCTCTGTAAGGCAACTGTTATTATCGGTGCTTGAAACGAGAGGAAAGAAGAACGGGAATGGTAGTATCTACAGAAATAAGAAAAAGGGTTGGCTCATTCGCAGACACGGTTTTACCAGCTGGTTCAGCAAATGGAAAGGTAGCAGATTCCAGGCTCTTATTGTAAGCACTTTGTTAATTTAATTTAATTTGATGAAATATTTACTGAGTGCCTGCTGCGTTCAAGGAGTTATGCCTTGCGCTGGTTCTATTATTGATACTGATAATTACACTGGCCTCGTTCACTTCCGTATCAGCACGAAGAACTCCCTAGGCCCGTGCAGCACACCCAGGTTGGCTACGGTTTCCACCTGGTGCTGTGGTTTACAACCCAAGCCAGTGTGGAGCGCCGGTGAGGGAAAGCAGTGTTAGTGCTAGCTGATATGGCGGTGGTGGCTGGGTTGTTAACTAATTCACATAACTAATTCAGTGTGGAAAGTGGGAAATTAAGTGAATTGCAACATGGGTAATTGACCCCTAATGAATTCAAGCTAAATAGCTATTTTCACTATTCTTGTTTCTCAGTATATTACCGGGATGCACTTTTCAACTGTTTAGATGTTTCAAATGGTTCTGGGGAAACTAAAAGAAGCTATGTGATAATGAAGCCTTCTTGTCATTTCATGATATATGTGAAACCTTAAGCCATCCTTAGCGCGACACT